CACAGGTTTTTCTGCCTCTTCTTCAGGTCCTGGTGAAGTCGAAACAACTTACCAAGATGAGCTATTTTTACTGAGCAGATTGATGGGAGCAGCAACCTCATAAAGCATTATACTTTGGGTGCAACAGGTAAGGTGCTTTTAGTGACAGCAGTTTCCATCAGTGCACGTTTAGTGGACGGCAAAACACAAAGGGTAGAAGAAACTGCAAGTATTCCATTACTTGTAAAGAACTTCTTGTATATGAGCCAGGAAAAGCATCTTGAAGCACCATCTCTTTACTTAGTACAGAAGTCAAAGTTCGTGTAGTAAATTAAATGTAGGTGACTATATCTTTTTAGGGTTTAAGTTGTAATAAATAAGCTTTCATACTTGAAATCCCAATTCCAAACCTAGAGTAGATAAATCTAATTTAAAATTAATTCTACTGGATTTCTACCAAAAAAACCTATGTCCATGCCAGTCTCTAGGCTTGTCTGGCACGGTTCTAAAACCATAGAAGTGACTACAGTGAGGCCAGCTGTCACAATGATTTCTCCAGTCACTGCTTGTCCACATCTCATCTACCAAGCTCTGGCTTGAGGAAAGAATCAGCACTAGAAAAACATATATACATAGGTAAGATTTCATCTTTTCTGATTTTGTATAAAATAATGGAAAACATGGTAGCTGAACAATGATTCACACAGCAGAATACTGAAATTACATTTTTGTTTCCTGTGCACATGGCTTCTTCAGCTACATCAAGGGACAAAGGTGCCCTTGGAAAACTTATTCTGAACATAATAATGAACTTCAGCAAAAACACATTTCTCTGCTGCTGCAGTAAGCAAACTACTGCAGTAGCAAAAGAAAACCCACACACTGGGGAACAAACAGTAAAGCGTCCATTCTATAAGCCTAAGAAGAACTATAGCTGGCACTAATCCCTCATTATATGAGGTAGAGAACAGGACCCCACACACAGCAAATTCAGACCACTAGGTAAGGACGTTCTTCACACTGCTCTCTAACAGCAAAAAGTACTTAAACAAGGGAGAGCAGTGAGGGAGAAGCCAGTCTGAACTTGGGGTTGCCAGAATGGTAGCTTTGGGGAAGTAAACATCAGGAGAGAGAAAAATTAGGCAAATAGGAAAATCTGCAAGAGAAAAATAGAAAGGTATGTTCCAATTTAGCTGTTTTTCCTCAATTGCCTTAGTTTTCAAAGTAAATATATAACTGCTCCATATTGCTTTCCTTCAAGCATCCATTCAGAGGGCACTCGCTACCTGTCCACCATTTAGATATGTTTTACTGCCATTTCCCAATTCAGAAGCGTTGTCTCCTCAAGAAAATGCACCCTTTTCATCTCACTCCTCTAGTTATCAAGGTAACAACAAGCAATCACAGCAAAAATTGATGTGTTATTCACCTTTGGGAATAGAGCAGACCAAAATAAAAATATTAATACTAAACAGCAAATCAAGAACTCTAAACTTCATTCTATGCAAAAACAGTACTAGTCTACACCATTAGAAAATTGACCCATAAAGTATAGACATAAAAGTGACAAAAGATTAAAAAGAAACAGACAAAATTTATGCAAGTGACCTTGGGTACTGCTTGCTGTCTTAGCATAGTTCTCTAAACAGCAGTCTGCAAAGCTATGAGATGCAGTTTACAGCTAGTCCATGAAATCACATTAAAATTCTGATCGAATATTCTGTATAATCTGAGTAGGTACACTGAGGCCTGATTCGAGGGTAGGTAGATGTTAACTAGCCACAAAAGTTTTTGAACCGTGGGTATAAAAAGCTGCTTCTTAATAAGATACAACAATCACAGCAGCCCAGATCTCAGGGCACTCTAGTCCAATGCAGGTTCCAAAGATAATGTTAGGTTGAAACTAACTCTAATTATGCTACATTTTACAGCTGTGACTGTAAATTCCAGAATACTGTTAAGCAAAAAATGAAGCCTATCACAGTCCAGAGGCAGCTGGGTCAACCCCACATCTACCTGTTTTCTCAACAAAACATGCAATAGTCTGTCTCTCAAAATTATCAGTGTGCTACAAGTGTTACTTGTACTAGGCCTACTTAGGACAAGATGTGGACTGCTAGAAGAATTGGCTTCCTTACAGAAACTCTACACACTGAAGGAACTAGAAAGACTTAAGACAAACAAGTGGAGGAAGGGAAAGAAAAGAAACAAAACCACTCCACAACCCTTCTGCTGTTCTCTTGCTATAGGAAATAAAAAAAAAAAAAAGAAAACCCCACCAAAAAAAACCAAAAAACCCCATCAATTTGAGCAACAATAAATAAATAAATAATAAAATCTCTTCAACCTCACAGCCCAACACATATGTATTTTTTTTAAGCACTAAGCTTCTTTATTACTTCTTAGAGATCTCAGGGAAGGTTTGAAAACTCATTCGTCCAATGTTCTTTCCACAGATCTCAGTAATAAAAAGCTGTGTTGCTTCACAGAAGAATTATTTATGTGAATATCGGCAAGCTCTGCAAGTGGACAATGCCCACTACTTAGGTGGTGAAAGCAACAAAAGAGACTGACAATGCTAGTTAGGATCTCTTGCCTCTGGGACATAAGACCGTGACCCCTGAGAAAACAATGCCTCAGCTAAGTCAACTTTATGTAAAAAAAAAAAAAAAAAGGAAAAAAAACCCAACCATCTTGGCAAAAGCTGAAAGCAGTTCTTTAAAAGCAGTCTTTAAAATCAGCAAGGAGTAACACTTCTTTATGAGGACCAATGAACCATAATTCAATAAGATCATATTCCAGCACACCCGACAGTATGCAGAACATTATGGGTGACTGGCATACTGATACAATCCAATTATGTATTATCAAAAAAAAAAAAAAAGGGGGGGGCACAGGGAACAGAGCACCAAGAGTTGAGGAACTACTTCAAATCAGATATTTCTACACATATTTTAAAAATTCTCAGAACAAACACTCACTGTTGAGATCTACTCTAATTGGTTTACAGGCTTAATTTAATCTTCCAACAGATCTAAGAAACGTCCTCTGTCTCTAGATATACTTAAATCAAAAACAGGAAGGGGAAGCTTTAGCTGTGCAAGAACGCTATTTTCTCAAATTTAAGTCTGGAGAAGAGGGTCAGAGAGAAACCCATAGTCAGAAATTTCAGAAGAACTGATGAGAAATAGCACACAGGAACACAGGACCAATTATGACTAAGTCATAACATAAACGATGTAGAACTACTTTTAAACTAAATAGAAAACTTGCAAATTTTTGGCAAGCAGGTTGAGCACAATACTTAACATAGCACATGAGCAGTGTTCATTGTATCAAAACCGGAAAAGGTACCATAGCTGTTAAGAGCTAATCTTTAAGATGCTTTTAATGTCCTTGCCAGAGGCAACGTTCAAATTCCTCTCGAAACACCCCAGAAGCACTCGCTTCACAGATATTTTAGAGCAGGAGAAATAAAGCATTAACTCGGACAAGAAGCTATAACGTCAAGAAGGCCGAGGCTAATCTGAAGGCCCTGGGCCGGGCCCAGGCCTCGGTCCCGGCCTCGCCTCTAGCGCAGCCCCCGCCGCCCCCTC